TTTACTAAATGTACTTGGGTATATATGATGCAAAGTAAGGTTGAAACAGGTTCACATTTACAATATTTTGCACTTTTGTTGAGACTCAATTTGACAGGAAAATGAGAGTGAATAGAATTGATAAAGGAAGAGAATTTCAAATAAAGAGATTCTATGATGAAAAGGGAATTATGCATCGAAAAGTTGTGTGGAAACTCCATAACAAAATAGAAGAGTGGAGATAAAGCATCAACAAATACTCGATACTGCAAGAGCATTAAAATTTCGAAGTGGAATGGACACCAAGTATTGGAGTGATTTTGTTCTTACTGTTGCATATTTAATTAACAAAACACTCTCCTCTGTGTTAGGTGGGAAGACACTTTTTGATATTCTACATGGAAAGAAATCAAATTATAGTCACATGAAAGTATTTGGGTGCTTAGCCTTTACGTCTACTTTATGGAGTGGAAGATGAAAATTTGATACAAGAGTAAGAAGATGTGTGTTCATAGGGTATCCTTTTAGTATAAAGGGATACAAATTGCTAGATGAAGAGACTGATGAGGTTATTATTCTAGAAATGTAATATTTCATGAAAAAGTATTTTCTCACAAAGAAAAGAAGTGTATAAAAGATATGCAGACTATATATAAGCCTAGGAATATATTGATAGACAAACTAGAATCAAATACCTTTATACAAGACAACACTCGGAACCAAGTGATGGGTCAAGATAGCCTAGATATGGAGGTTAGGAACCTCACACAGATAAAAGAGGTATCCAACAATCAAAAAATGATTGATGGAAAAAAAAAAGAATACCATATGAAGGACAATGAAATTCCAAGGAGAAAATCAACATGGACAAAGAGGCCACTAAAGTACTTAAGGGACTATATATGTGATCAAATTTAAGGAAACAGTGATTGCATAAAGCTGTCTGATCCACAAGTCTGCAATGGTGGTGTCGTTCCCCTATCAAGCACAATTACATAAAGTAGACTTATGAGGGGACACAAGAAGTACATACTTACTGTAGCATCCCATAATGAACCAAGTTCATATAAGGAGGCCAGCAAGGACCTAAACTGGAGAAATGCCATGGAAAACAAACTCCAAGCTCTTGAAGAAAACAAGACTTAGAAAGTAGTTGATTTACCAATAGGGAAGAGAGCATAGATGCAAGTGGGTCTACAAAGTAAAATTCAAAGTAGATGGGACCATTGAAAGACACAAGCTAGATT